TCATCCACAGAAGCGTGCGATGATGCTTTGCCGTTATGGAAGACGTGCTCTTTCCAGACCTTCTGCTTGTGGTGGCTCGAAGTGTTTTCTCAACGGTGGCGAACCTGCGTCTCGGCTCTCTTGCTTTCCGTTTGCCGATTCACCGTGCTAACTGGGTCGGCCCGTCTCCCATTCACTTTGCGCTGACTTGTGTTTCTTCATAATCATAATGTGCATCTAACAATGGGTCAAGCCAACTTAAGAAATGTTTTCGTCAACATGTGCAGTGCAACCTCGTTACTTTTGTGTAAAGTTTACAGAAAAAAGATCAAAAAATTGGGAAGTGGTTTGCTCGTAAGAAGAGCCATGTTATCTTCAGACACCACAAAATCCCTGCCCTCTGACAGAGTACACAGTGTATGTAGGTTAAAGGGTTTACGTACGTCAATATACGTCATATTTTGCCTGCATTTGAATATATATGTATTACGCTCGTGAAGAATTAGCGTCTATATTATAGATTAGTTTGTACGTGAACTTTCTTTTTGAAGAAGTAGAATCATATTGTGTAAGATGTCTTAGTTGAATGCTATATGCAACGAACGTTGGGTTGGTTCCCTACAATTTACCCGACTCGACTGTATATCGAAGTGTGGTTTATTTTATAGTTATTTTTTAAATGCTTAATTAATTGATTGAATAATAATCAATAATAACAATAATTAATTAAATCTTCGCAATCAGCCTTTTTACATAGCAGGAATCCAGCTACAAAGAGGAGGAGGGCGACATGCATAGCCTGGTCTTTGCTGGTCGCCCCTATCGCGTAGCCTAGCCGCGGTTCGCAGCGTGCCCGCTGGCGCCCTCGGAGCAGCCGAAGAGGCCGTGGGGAGTTTTCCGCGGCGCGAGACAAAAGGCGGGTGGGAGGGTGGCGCGGAGAGCGAGAGGGGCGGGTGGTGGGGGTGGGGACTGCGGCTGCACGGGACGGCCTCGCGCGCCTGCGCTCCTGCAACCCGCAGCACGCCCGCGCGCGCCACGCCGCTGCTGCACCGCGCGACGGCCCCTGCTCGCAGCATGCCAGGCTCCCCGGGCTTCGCCGCCAAAGGAAATTACATTATTAACTGCGGTGCCGGGAAGCGGGAGTGTATATCATTCAAAATATCGTTACATAAAGTATTCATTCTTATTAATTGAAATTACATCATTCGAAAGTTTAAGGAAACTGATATCAAAGGATATAGTTAGAAGATAAACTATACCTAAAAATTTTAATACTAACTGTCTGGCATTACACTGACAGTTCAAGAGAAATAAGAGGTTGAGTAGGACTACAATTAAATTGTTAGGTGATATTAACTGCAAGCAACGAAACCGGGCTTGATGGAACTTAAAAACGATTTGTGGTTACTGGTAACTAAAAATGGCTGTTTTCTGTAAGCACTCTTTACATTGATTGTGCATTAAACGTAATATGATGCCATAGAGACATGCAGATGAGTGTTTGGAGACTGCAACGTTGTGAACTACGTACTTCTCAAATGATATAAAATAAATCACGTATCCATAGTCTTTGTGATATTATATTGGCTTCAAGTAAATTATTATACTGTTAATAAAGATAATTTCGAAAGTCACTGTGTATCTCACAAAAAATGCTATACAGATCAACCCGAAATCTTCCTCGGCTGAGAGGGAGGGGGGATCACTTAAAAGTATTGAAGGGACCTTGGCAACGTAATGAAATCCCTCATCTATCGAAATAAAAATTCGTACCGTTTCCCCGAAAAATAAACTCATGATCCAACTTCGAACAAACATGTTCATAGAACGTGTGTACAAATCAACAGAAAATGCATACACGAACCGAAATAGGTCTGCATTTGCACATGCTTTGCTTTTTCCTCTGCCGCATAAAATAACAAAAATTAGTGTTATAGCTACGCCGTCGCGGCCCCTTCCATGACGGAGGAGATACTTTCTCGTCTCGGCGCGTGGAGAACGCGCGCCGCCTGCGCCTCGGCCATTCGCAGGCCCGCGATCGATTCCCGACGCGTCGGGCGCCGCTGCTCGAACCGCTTGCACTCGGTGCGCGTGCGGGGATGAAATTCCGTTTCTTGTGTGTACTCCCTCAGGAGACTCTACTTTACATAAGCTCCCCGTAAAAAAAGAAGTGTCTTTACAAAAGAAACGTGAAAAGATATTGTTGCCAACGCGAGGGAAATTTTGTGATCTGATTTTCTCTTAAACACGTTGTGATATCGTTGTTTTACTTTTGCGCGAACAAATGCAGAATGAAGTTAATGCTTCAAGGAGATCTTTTCGTGAGATGTGTTGAGTAATTGGGAGCTGATGCTATTGCGCTATTACGCTTTCGTAACACGCTACCGTGCCTGCTGAGAAAGTTCGGGAAGTCATGCTCCATATCAGATGGGTAGACACTAAAACTGCGAGCAAGGACATCGGCTTCTTCCGCGCCCAAAGCGGCAGATAGTGTGTGGTATCGTGACCCCAATGATGGTGTCTGGTCGTCTGGCTGGGATTTCGTGAGTGACATTGTAGATTTTGTATTAAAATAATATTGCTTTGACAATTTCCTACTGAAAGTTACTGGAACTGATATGACTTGGTCGTCTGAAGAGAAAATTAGTTGTGAAATAATCTGTATTATATATGAATTTTACTCTGAATTGGCATAGGAGATTCTTTGGTCGTTATTAGTGTTACAAAAAAGTCTTCATGTCGAACACTTTATCTTTTTTCGTGCACATAAAATTTGCGGTGATAGCGTTGGCTGTATTGCATTATACATACGATTCTCAGTAATTTAGAAAAAGACACATAGATAACTTCTAACAGAAATGCACTGTGCCTAATGAGTTAATTTTGGATTCAGCGCTCTTCCTCGTTACTCCAGAATGGCGGGTGTTTCTATCGTGGAAGCGAGGAAGCGGAAAGGAAAGGGTGTACTGACCACGGGAATGCCTTAAGACAGCTCACAGTTTCCCTACGCGAACCATCAACACAATGATACTCCCACGAATCCCACCCTCGTCGGTACCTCATGGTTGCTGGATTATGTTCGTCTTTCGAGCGCAGTTGTAATCTCCGAGAAACGTATCTCTTCCTAACCGTTTTTGCCAATTCGAATTGGTTACCCAGTCCGATAGAAATATTCCTTCATTGGTTTCCTTAAGTTAGTCAAATATTATAGATTTGATATCGGAACTGTAGTGAGACACCTCTAGTATACAATTAGCTGTACCTTCGGCTTAATTGATCAGTGATCAAATACTTCTGTGTTAATCCCCTACTTTAGAATATCAACAAAAATTTGTGTACTTCGAAATAATTTGTTGTGAACCTTTCATTACACTTAAGTTACCGTAATTAGCAATTGTAATAGTAAATACTAAAATGTAGTTGCTACTAATTACAATTGTTGTATTCATGTCGAATATAACACGCATTCAAGAATTGATTGATTCCATTACAGTAAGTAAAAATAGCGCTGACGATGTGCGAAAGCTGTGCGGAGCTACTTAAGATGCTCGGGTGTCAATGTCTGCGACAACCTGCGCAAACAGCGTCCCCCCAGAGATAAGATACCGCGCGGAGAGTGCTTCTCGAGCGGAGCGTCTTGGCGTATCCCGTGGTCCGCTAGAGGGTTCAGTTGTGGCGGCAGCACCCAGCACCTGTTGGCGAGAGATTTACTTAATCGCAAAACAAAGGGATGAATGAACGCGTGGAATGTTCGGTATTGTCACTCAGTCAAATAGTTATCTAAAATGACATTGTTAACAAAAATCAACAATTCGGTACGGCCAATATGGTACGGTACTAACTCCGCTGGCACATTTCGACGTCAACAGCGAGGCTTCGCCCTGCTGCCTGTGCGATTAAAATAACGTTTCGAGCCGACACAAATGTCCAACGCGAAAATACTAATATAACTTAACCTGCTTTGCTTGCGTATATACTATAAATGTGACACCGAGAAAACTGATTTAAGAACAAACGTTTTTCTCGAGGCGCACGGAGCCCTAGCATTGAGCTGGGGAGGCCTCGGGGCCTTGCCACGGTCCATTGGCGCCCTTTGTCTGTGACGCAGTCGAGTGATGACGGTCTCACCGCACCGATCGCGTCACGGTGAGCGTCCGAGGGGGTGATGCCTGGCGGCAGCTGAGTCTATAGTGGAGTTGAAACCGGCAATCAAAAGTTAAGCGTGTCCACAGTGGAAGTCTTTGTTTTTTCGCACCTCACCCACACTAAGTGCAAGGGGCTGCTGTTATTACTTAGTGTACTTTTGATGATATTTGAAATTTCATGTCTTTCAGCATAGGATTGTATACCCAAATAATTGTGTCTCGTTTTAGAAGTTTAGTTAGTTTGAATAAAAAAATGCAATAGCGCAATTCATCGTTTGGACCGGATTCATACAAAAATATTAGTTGTGAAAACTATTTTAATAATAGAACCACCTTTTTTTTCTTAATTGAGAACTTAAGCAGGAATAGTGTAGGTTATACAATAAAGAGGATTATAATAAAACCAAATTTAACCATTATATTTCTAATTGTTTTTACCTTGATTATTTATTGCACACATTTTATATTTCTGCATACATAACGTATTTACCTTTTCTTAATAATAAAAATAATATTGAGGAACCAATGTTGCTAAACCACTTTCTTTAATGCATGTTCTAGTCATTGATCCACATCGTATTTCCTGAAATATAGAAAAAAATATCTTGAAAACAACCTGTACTTGCACCTTTTGAGAACGTGGGTTAATGGAAGGGTGCTCGTTGAGAACATTATTTGGGATTGCCTGTGCACAAGTCATGGTTTTTGCTGCCTAACTCGAAAATAAACACAGTTATCCGGTAAATTTCGACATACTTGCAGATAAATACGTGGACATTTTATGTTCGGTTTTTCGAAACTGCATGTTTCGTGCCCAGATAACTTCACCTACCCTCCTTAATCGTACACGTGCGTTGACACCTGTTCAAATTGCGCATGCGCGTTAGCTGGTTGTCAAAAGCCTTCGAGGTGCTCTCGTGGAGGGCGGTGGGGCTCGCGGGCCTGGAAGCGACCTGCGCCGCCCGCGCCACTCGCGCCGCCCGCGCCTCTCGCTTCCGCCGCGGCGGGCGCCACCGCAGCCGCTTCCGCTTCCGCCGACGTTACGGCGCCGGCGCCGCCGGCCGCGCGGCGGAAGACCGTTCCCTGGCCGCTCGCGCGGCGGAGAAAACGGACGCGCTTTCTTTAATTACATTTATGCGCGCGTGGTGATCGCTGGGGCCGTTGGAAAAGGGCATTTTTATGAGGTGAAACATTTGACGTAGTGCTAATAAATTTCGACGTAATGGGAAACGCCACTCGATATTTTTGTTAAATTATACCTCATGAATTAGTAATGGATGATTTTTCTTTTGTCTAGGGAATTGCTTAGCTCCTAAATCTCACCGTGGCCACCGTGGCACCTAAATCTCACCGTAATTAGTATGTCCACCTCCTGTCCGTTCGTTGAATCGTGGACGAGGGTGATGCACGGAATGAGATGTTCGAACATAATGCATTTTTGCGAATGTTAGGTACTTTAAGGTTAAATATCGTAACCTTGCTAGGTTTAATAGATTGACGTATGTGACAAATATCAGAGAATATGAGAGTTGTGGGAAATAGTTCATGACTTAGGCGGTTTATTAACCTTGCGAAATGAAACTACTTTTCTGATAGCCCAATTCTTTTGCGGTAGTTACCAGTTACGAAGAGAAGGTTTCTGATTTATTTATATGAAGGTGTTTTAAAGAAAAATGTGCAGGAAGCTTCGTCTGTTTACTCTGTAATTATCAAGTCTGTACGGCTTTGTCCATTTGTCGTGTGGTGTATTCTTTTGCAAAACAAAACGACAGACACAACCCACTTCCTCTCTTTCCGTTTCCTGATGGCTGTGATAATTCGCACATTTACGCGGCATTAAAAGAATTAGTTTTTTGAAACGTGTTAACTGTTGGTCATTTATTAGCATACAACTTACGGCTGGAACAAATAGTTAAATTTAAAGACCTGGCTGTTCTCGAAGAATTCATTCAGAAAAGACATTGATTTGCTCGTCTGTGGGTACAACATAGTCATAAGTGTGAATACCTCGAGCTGGATAAATGAACGGCTGTATCAGTAATCGTTATTGGGTGTTTTTTTCTTCTTCACTTATTAGTACTGGAGAATTTCTTATTTTATCAACGTCTTTCATGTTTATTTTCTTAGATATGTTTGAAAGTAGATGAAAAATTGGAGAAAAATTGTTTAAACACAAGGGTTGTTTTAACGCTGAACTTTATTCACTTAGGAGACTTCTGTCACTCGGAATAAAGCGTAACTAGAGCCCTTGCAGTGTAACTATTCGGTACCCGCCCTCGGTGTCGTTGGTAAGATTCCAGCAATTGTGTGTGTGATGCGAGCCGTTGGTTAGAGGTGTGCTTTTGCGTGTCGCAGACGCCGCTGTCGGGCAACGGCGACGGCGAGCAGCTGGACACGCGCGGCTGCCGCGTGGACGTGGCGGGCGACTACACTAAGAAGAAGCACGTGCTGCGCCTCAACACGCTCAGCGGCTCGGAGGTGCTGCTGCAGGCGGAGACGGCCGACGACATGGAGTTGTGGCTGGGCGCCGTGCACCAGCGCGCCGACGCCTACGAGGTGAGCCCACGTGCATTGACTTTCTTCTTCTTCTTCTTCTTCTTCTTCTTCTTCTTCTTCTTCTTCTTCTTCTTCTTCTTCTTCTTCTTCTTCTCTCTCTGTCTCTGTGTCTCTCTGTCTCTGTGTCTCTCTGTCTCTGTGTCTCTCTGTCTCTGTGTCTCTCTGTCTCTCTGTCTCTGTGTCTCTCTCTGTCTCTGTGTCTCTCTCTGTCTCTGTGTCTCTCTCTCTCTGTCTCTCTCTCTTTGTCTCTCTCTGTCTCTCTCTGTCTCTGTCTCTCTCTCTATCTCTGTCTCTCTCTGTCTGTCTCTGTCTCTCTCTCTGTCTCTCTGCCTCTCTCTGTCTCTGTCTCTCTCTCTGTCTCTCTGCCTCTCTCTGTCTCTCTCTCTGTCTCTCTCTTTCTCTCTATTTCTCTCTATTTCTCTCTCTCTTTCTTTCTCTCTTTCTTTCTCTCTCTCTTTCTCTCTCTTTCTCTCTCTTTCTCTCTCTTTCTCTCTCTCTCTCTTTCTCTCTCTCTCTTTCTCTCTCTCTCTCTTTCTCTCTCTCTTGCTCTCTCTCTTTCTCTCTCTCTTTTCTTTTTGTCGCGCGGATTTGCGATGTTTTTGCGAATGCCATCCTTGGTTGGCGAGGGTGTAGGCCTACGTCATGATGGGATCCCGTTTTTTTTAACAGATAATTACAGTGGTAGCTTGCCATTGTCTTTAACAGGCTGACTGGTGGTAAGAGTTTAGGAATGAATGATGATTTAGAGGTGTGTTTTGGCGGAGGAGATGGTGACACGGGTGTGTAAAGGTGGTTGTGTACTACAGATATATATTTCGTAATATCTGTAACGGTTATTCACTGTTGTTGGTAGCTGGAGAGTCACACTCTGCTATATTTGAACCACCTGTTTAAGATTATACGAATAGATGGTGTAAAATTATAACTATAAGAATATATTGCGCCGAATTCTCGGTATGTTCTAGACTTCCTTAATGATGTAGATTATTTTTTATCTACGTTATCTATGTGATAACAACAGCTGTTGTACCACGATGGATATGTTTGATTCCAGTCACGGGCAAATGTTGTTTTCAGACTGAAAACAGTTATCAATGACTGACATCAGTTTTTTTTATTTGTTTCTTCTTTGAATTGCTAATGCTTCTTTTTGTAAGAATGTTACTCTCCAACAAATGGGATTGTTTGTTTCCGCTTGTCAAACGCGGGGTGACCGTGATTTGCCTTATCTCCGCGTCTTATCATTACCTCATCACAATCAACAGCTCGTTTCAAATGTCGTCCACAACACTCGGGTCGTTTCTGAGGATCTTCCATCTTGGGCTTTCTTGCCCACTTGTTTTTTGTTTTTTCAAGTGCCATGATGGATTTACATCTAGAAACGCAATGAATAAATTCATCTTCATGAATATGATCCTTAGCAAACGCCCTGCGCAGTGAATTTGCAAATTATACTCATTCACACCCAATACGTTGAAACCTTGGTCACCAAGTAGCCGCAACAGATGCCATTAACAACGCCTGCAATTCCCGAAACTTCCCATTTCAGCAGTCGACCTCTCGATTTCTCATCAGGGAAAAGTACCTGATGCCTCGAGCCATTAAGCTGTCGTGTTGTGACGGAGAACTACGAGGCTTCGGGTGCAAACATACGACTATCGCATACGCCATCTCATCCATTGTGTTATTTTTACGGCGGTTTTTAATAAATATATTCGTCTGCGTGCGGTTCCTGGCATCTTCAGGCTTTTTCTTTGCGCCCTTCCCCGGAGTCCCTGGGTATACCCCCCCCCCTCGCCATAATACGGCACCTGCGTAATTGTGTTCTTCGAATTGTTTCAAAAATTTTCTACGTTAATGTTGGAAACGTCTAGTCAACAAGTCGTCAACATTGTTTGCAGAATCTTATACGTAAACCTACAAAAAACAAGTTTGTGACATTTCCGTTCCCTTTAAAGCGGAGCAGAAGGCATTGGAAATGAGTAAAACAAAGACGTCGATGATAAGGCCATGGCCAAAGTTTGATAGTACTATTTTAGAACTACGATAAATATTATTTTCTTATCTGACAGTTCCATTGTATGAACAAAATTAACTTTCCTGTTTTAGTTTGCAATATATATATATATATATATA